TCCTCCCTATTTACAAAGATTTTGTTCCTATTTTTCCATTTTCTCATATTAATTGCATTCCCTTCTTTCCTTTTCCCTACTCCCCCCCGCCCCCCAAGGGTTTTTTTTTGAGCTTTTAAAGGAAGCCTCCCTTAGATGAAAAATATATTTACATATCATTACAGTTCGCTATTTTTTTATATTCCTGTCTCTATTTCTACATACTGGAAGTAAGAAGATGCCAAATGTAGGCGTAATAGTGGCAAAAATTTATCATTATGATTTACTATGTTCTTACAGTGTGCTAAATTGCAAAAAGTATATATGAAGAATGGAATTGTTTAATATACTTTTAAGTTTCCTAACATAAAAAATAACATTTGGATACAAAGAAGTTAAGAGTATAAGAATAGCAAATACGATAGGAATAACAAGTTAATTTTTACTATTTCATTCATTTTTAATGTCTAGTTGTGACTAGTTTTAGGCATACTGACTAAAGCATATTGCTTAAAAGAACTGAGGAAATCTTGGAAAGCATTCAAAGGAAAGTCCTGAAGAAACTGAATGTGTTTCAAAAGGGGAGGTATTATAAAGGACTAATGACACTCATCTGTTTAGCTTGGAATAAGAACATTGAGAGAACACTTAATGTTAGTACTCTTCGAGGACTGTGGTAAGCGTATTCTCCCCTCTATGTAAGAAAATATTTACTGAGCATGGTTGGACTTTGGTCAGAATATTCAGGGAGATTGTGGAATTTGAAAGTGGAGGGACCTCTCAAGAGGAACTATATTAGCATTCTACATTAGAAGAAAGCAGTTTGGTGGTACTTAAGAGATGTTGGCAGTAATTACCTAATAAGGTAGGTACCCTAGTGACAGATGAACTTGATAGTTTCTCTCTTTGTAAGACTGAAGTAGGAAATCCTTGAGGAAGCACTCATTGGTACAGAGCTACCCAGAAAAGCTAAACAGCTGAAGTGTGTGTGGTGGCATTAACTTAGGTGAATTCTTTAGTGTGCATTCAGGGAAATAAAGTAAATAATGTTAACCTGCTCAGTGAATGTCTGCTTTGTATTCTTTGTATTCCATTTGAAAAGGGAGCAAGAAATCTTCTGTCCTATTGATCTCAGTTTTTTAAATGGCTTTTACAATGTAATCACTGGAGTATGGCAAGTATGATTCCAGTGTTTAGAAATAATTATTTTTGCTAAAATATATCCCTAAATGTAAGCCAGCTTCCTCATTTGGTGCTTATCCAAAGTACCTTGAGCTACTCATACTCAAATATTGGAAGAAAACAAAGGTTTTGTTTTCTAAGGTAATTTTAACTAGGTAATTCTTGCCTCATGTATTGACTTCAGGCCCTAACCAGTGGTGGCAAACCTATGTCTCACATGCGATGGCCAGCTGTTTGTTATCATTGAAAGCTCTAAAAGGCTTGCCATCACTGCACCTAACCCTTTATGTGACTGCACAGTAGATCCCTATTCAAGACTCAGTGCTATAAAAGAATGAGGCGATAATATAGCTATATTATTTATTTAGAAAGTTTTAGTAAAGATGGGCAATGAGTTTTCCAGAGGAAATTAGATTTGCTTACAGATGTTAATATCTGTAGCTGACCTAATTAGTTAGAATTCTTTAGAAACAAGTAACAGCAAGCAGCCTAACTTAATTCTCTGTATGGCAAAAATAGTCATGTCATTTACCATCTTGATCCAATGGATTTTAAAAATGTTTTTAAATTGTCATTTTATAAATTACAGGTGTGAATAAAGTGATGGTGAATTTTTTATTAAAATTTTAATAATTTAAATATAGCAAATCCAAATTTTATTCTGTAGTTTTCTGATTGAAAACATACGTAAAGCTGGATGTAGTGAGGGAGGCCTATAGTCCAGTTACTCAGGAGCCTGGGGCAGGAGGATTGTTTGAACCCAGGAGTTCTAGGCCAGAGTAGGCAACATACTAAGACCCCATCTCAAAAACAAACATATACTGTATATTTGTGAATCTTATGCATGAATGAGAATATATTTATCTTGTAAATACTGATTCCAGATTTTAGTTACCTTCCTAATAGATTTTTGGTTATCATTGCTTCTAGTTTTTCTTGATTTGTGTGTTTTTTTTAATACTGATACTTTTGAGAACTTTGACCACTAATGATTTTGTTTGAGAAAATGGCTATCATCTTTGCTCCATAATTACAAACCATTTTTCTTAGGTTTATAGATACCAATTAGAATGATTATTCTATTGAACTTTTTTCATTTCTATGTCATCTGTTTCCTTCCAGTCACCTTCGTGTATACATGAATCTTCAGTCTTACCATGTAAATGTTGGTGTATAAGTGTCATATATAATGAAAGAACTGTGACATTACTCTCTTAGCAAAATGGGATGGTCGGGGCTTTGTCAAAATTTTATAGAATAAAATATTTTCTTGTTGAATGACTAATTGATGTGGAAATCATATTTCCTTTATGTTCTTAGAAATACATTGTTTACTCATCAATTCCTGAGTTTGAGAAAAGTAAGATATTGCCATCTGAAGACTCTTCTGAAATTTTGCTTCTACACTTTCACCATAACTGTATGGAATACTACTTTTTGTCTCTTTGCGTTACATTTATCTTCTAAGTGGTTTGGGGTTTTTTTTGGGTTTTGTTTTTTTTTGCAGGTGATGATTGGGATTAACTCAGGGCTTCTTACATGGTAGGCAAATCCTCTGCCACTGAGCTCCTTAGCATTTTTTTTTTTTTTTTTTAGACAGGGTCTTGCTGGCCTTGAACTCACTTTGTGGCCCAGGGTGGCCAGAAATCCTCCTGCCTCAGCTTCCCAAATGCTGGAATTACAGATGTGCACCACCACACCTGGCTTGAGAATGAGTTTTATTCTATCAAAAAGAATAGACAAGCCTTCTCTGTTGGAAGACCTTCAAGAAAAAAGAAAAGCCATAAATTTCTATCCTTGTAAATAGTAAGGATTGCTTAACAAAGAAACTAAAACTGGTTTCAGTGGACTCCGGTAGTGTACCAGTGGTTAAGCAGAATTGAATTTTTTTTTTTGGTACTGGGGATCCAACTCAGGACCTTGTGCTTGCACAGCAGGCAGCAAAACCACTGAGCTAAATCTTCTGCCCAGAATTGAATATTTTGAGGTTTTAAGTATCTCATAGCCTCTCAAGAATGGGTATGTAGCTAGACTTTAGGAAGGAACTGCAGCTAAAACTGGAGGCCATCAGGAGTCTATTTTGCTCATTTTTGCTCTTTTCAGTGCTGCTTTTTGTTTTGTTTTTCCAGATATAGGTGGAACCAGGGCCCTTGGGCATGCTAGGCAAATACTGTACCACTGAGATTCATCCCCAACCTTTCTGTGCTCTTCATTTTTAACTTTTATTTTGAGGCCGTTTTCACTAAGTTGCACAGGCTTGCATCAAACTTGTGATCCTTCTGCCTCAACCTCCCAAGTAGTTGAAGCTGCTCCACCATAAACCACTGCTCTCCTTTATGAGCAGTTATTCTTTCCTTTTGTTCCATATTCATGTATTAGAAAATATGGCCCTTGACAATTCTTGATATGTTACAAGTTCAGCTCCATGAAAAGAATCTGTCCTTTATGTTCTTTCTTAGACTTTCTGACTAGGTATTGACCACTTTCAAAGGGCTGTTATTATTTTGAGACAGGTTTCGCTACATAGTTCAGGCTGGCATTGAATTCACTATGTAGCCCAGGCTGACCTTGAATTTATGACAGTCTTCCTGCTGTTTTTAAATTCTAGTTATTATTCAGAGTTCTCCTGCCTCAATGGCCTAACCAAATGCTAGGAATACAGGCATGTGCCACCATGTCTGACCACTTAGTAAATTCTTACCTGTAATCTTTAACAGTTTTAGGGTCAGTTTTTCTTGCTTCATTATGTTCTAATTATATTCATCCAAATATCAAGGAATAATAATAGATAAAGTTAATTTATTATTTAGGTACATAAGACTTGAGTAACTTTTTCATTTTTTCCAGCAAAACAAGTCTGTGATGTCTAGGATGATTGAATTATACTTAAGACTATTTTGTATACTTTTTTCCTGTGGTTCTGGGGTCAAACCTGGAGCCTCATGTTTGCAGGGCAAACAGTTTACCACTGAGCCACATCCTCATCTCCTTCTGCGTATACTTATAATAGTAGTTTTTCAAACAGTTCTAGTGGTGGTTTTCAAATGGGGATTTTTAGAGGTACCTCAGGAAACCCAGGGAACAGACAAACAAATAATGTGAGTCTTTAGTGGTACTCTGACCAAAAGTCTTTTTTTTTTTTTCTGGTTTGTATTGAACTACGAATTGAATTCAAGGAATGTTTGGCTACATCCCAGGACCCTTTTAATTTTATTTTGAGAAAAGGTCCTGCTAAATTGCCTGGGGTGACCTTAAACTTGAGATCCTCCTGCCTCAAGCTTTTGAGTAGTTAATGTTACAGGTGTATACCACCACCTCTATTCAAAAATCTTTTTTAAAATATATATTTTTTAAAATTACTGTTTTGGGGAAAAAACAAATACTTTAACATGCAATCTCTTCATTCATTTTCTAGGCATGTAGTGCCTACTGGATGCTAGACACTGGATACACAAAGATGGGAGAATCACTAAGCAGGAGCTTCTTAGCAGAAATTCAGAGTGGCAAAATGTTTTCTCTCCCTTTGGTATAGAATTAGGCATAGCTATATAAACATGCTTTGCTTTTGTAACTTTTTATCTTGAAAGTGTATTTTAAAGGCTAGAATTCTGAGACTTATATTTTGCATTTTTTGTGTGTGAAAAAGTATGTTTTTCATGATGGCATGCACATAACCATTACTAACAAGTTTTACTTGCAATCTTTTTGTCGAAAATACTTTTTTTTTTTCTTCTAGAATGAAAGGCTTAAAACACTTTGTAGTGATCTAGAAGAAAAGCATGAAGCATCAGAGCTTCAAATAAAGCAGCAGTCTACAAGTTACCGAAATCAGTTGCAACAGAAAGAGGTAAAGATTATTATAGTCACTTCATATTTATTTCAATATTATTTATTTTGAGATAGAGTCTTGCTAAGTCAGCCAGACTGGGTCAAAACTTATGATCCTCCTGCCTTAGCCTCCCAGGGTGCTGGGATTGCGGTATGTACCACCATGCATAGTTAAGTTATTTCCTTCTAAGACTTGGGCTAATAACCTTGGGCAAACTGTTTTATCTAAAACGACTTGATGTATAAACTGCATAGACTGACACAGTTTTCATCATTATTTATGATTTGATAATTACAAACAGAGCCGTAAGAAATTATCTATACTACCCTCTACATAGAAGATAGCAAACCCATTTTTTTTCACATCCTAAAGTTTATTTATTTGACAAAAATTCAAAAAGATATTATCATGACCAGAGAGAGAATCCTGGTTAATGAAGTCTAAAGCTTATATACTTTTAAAAAGCTGTCAAATACTACAAATATCACAAAATACAGAAATAGAATCAGTGTTTTGATTAATAAACCAAGAACCTTCTAGGGAAACATTCTTTTTTTTTTCCTATCGTCTATATTCATTGTGCTCTTTATTTATATTGGGTTTCTCATATATGCGAAATTATGCAATATTTAAGCTTGTGTGTTTGAGTGACTTAACATTATGGCCTCAAGGTCCATCCATTTTCCTACAAATGACTCAAATTTATCCTTTATGGCAAAGCAGTACTCTATTATGTATAAATGCCACATTTTCTTTAACCGGTCATCTGTTGATGGGCATCTGGGCTGTTTCCAAGATTTAGCTATTGTGAATTGTGCTACTCTGAACAGGATATACACGTACCACTGTTAAATGAGGTCTTTAACTCTTTCAGGAAGATAACTGGAAGGTGAATAGCTGGTCAAATGGAATTTCTAGTTTTAGTTTTTCAAGAGACTTTCAGACTGATTTCCTTAGTGGTTGTACTAGTTTACATCCCCACCCGTAGTATAGGAGGGTTCCCTTTTTCCCCATAGCCTCACTAGTATTATTATAGTATTTGACTTCTTAATGATAGCCATTCTTTCTGGACTAAGATAGACTCTAAGTGTTGTTTTAATTTGCATTTCTCTAAAGGCCAGTGAGGTTGAACATTTCTTCGTGTACTTATTGGCCATTTGTACTACTTCTGAGAATTCATTTCAGTTGCCCATTGTTTGATAGGGACTACACTTTAGTCCTCTATCTGAGAGGTAGCTGGCAAAATTTTTTTTCCCATTCTATAGGTTACCTCTTCACTCTGCTGGTTGTTTCTTTTGGTGTGAAAACCTTTTAAATTTGATATGATCCCATTTGTTGATTCTTGGTATATTGTGCAATAGCAGTTCTTCTGTTCAGAAAGTCCTTGCCTATACCTATGTCCTTGCCTTGCCTTCAAGAGTTTTATCTATCTTATCTTTCAGTAGGTTAAGTGTTTCTGTTTTAATATTTAGATCTTTGATCAATTTTGATTTTAGTTTACATAGTACATGGTGAGAGTTAGAGGTCTAGGTTCAGTCTTTATGTGGATAGCCAGTTTTTCCATCACCATTTGTTAGAGAGGCTGTCTTTCCTCCAGTGTAGATTTTTTTGCCCCCTTGTCAAAAATCAGATAGCTGAATATACCTGGAGTTGTTTCTGCATCTTCTATTTTGATCCATTATCCACTTGTTCAATGACCAAGTTCCGTTCCTTTCCTGCTCCTAGACTGTTAACTGAACTGGTCTCTAAATGAGGAATTGTGTGTAGTATGTACATTTCAAGATGTATTTAGAATAAAGAAATGGTAAAAGGAAACTCCAGCTTGATGACTTTGATTTTATTTGCATAACTGTTAATGTAGTACTGTAATGTACAGTAGAACACAAACTACAGTAAGGTACAGTATAATCAAAAATTGCAGTGCTGTATAAATAAGATATACTGTACAAAAAAGACATTGAGGCTCTGTAAACAAGATGTACAGAATTATACATAAAGACGTGTTGTAAGTCTCAACAGTCATTAAACAGGTAGCTCGCTAAATGAGGAATATCTGTAGTGTAACTCGAAGTCTGAGATTGTCATGTCTCCTGCCTTGTTCTTATTGCCCAGGATTGCTTTTGCTATTCTGGGTCTCTTCTGGTTCCATATGAATATTAGGATTTTTTTCTCTAATTTTGTGAGGAGTGCTATTAGCATTTTGATTGGGATTGCACTGAATTTGTGTATCACTTTTGAAAGTATGATCATTTTGACTGTATTGGTTCTGGCTATCCAGGAACAGGGGATATCTTTCCATTTTTTGATGTCCTTTTAGATCTTATTTTTCAAGAGTACTGTAGTTTTCATCGTTCTTCTTCTTCTTCTTCTTCTTTTTTTTTTTTTGGTACCAGGGATCAAACTCAGGACCTTGAGCTTGTGAGGCAGGCATGGGCGCCACTGAGCTAAATCCCCAGCTGCTGTAGTTTTCATTATGAAGGTCTTTCACTTGCTTGGTTAAGTTTAGTCCTAAGTATTTAATTTTTATTGATGCTATTATGAAAAGTATTATTTCTCTGATTTCTTGGTGAATTTTTTATTGGTATACAGGAATGCTATTGATTTTGGGGTGTTGCCTTTCATTCTGCTACACTACTGAAATTGGTTATTAATTCTAGGAGTCTTTTGGTGGAATTTTTTGGGTCTTCTAGGTAGACAGTCATGTCATCTGCAAATAATAATTTGACTTCTTCCTTTCTGATACATATTTCTTTTCTTTTTTTTTCTATTTCCTGATCACTGTGAGTAATGAATGCTTCAAGAATTACATATAGACAGGAGTTGTGATAGTGAACATCCCTGTCTTGTTCCTGATTTTAGAGGGACAGCTTTCACCTTCTCTCCATTTACTGTGATGTTGGCTGTTGGTTTGTCTTAAGTGGCTCTTATCATATTGAGATAAGGTCCTTCTATACCTATTTTCTTTTTTTTATATATATACCTATTTTCTTCAGGGTTTTTGTCATGAATGGGTGTTGATTTTGTTAAAGGTTTTTTTCTACATCGATTGAGATGATCATATAGTTTTTGTCTTTGCTTTGTGTGTTACATTTATTGATTTGCACATATTAAAACATCTGTGCATACCTGGGATGAATCCTACCTGGTCACGATGTATGATCTTGTTGATGATTTGTTGCATTCTGTTTGCCGGTATCTTGTTAAAGGAATTTTGCATCTGTGTTCATCCAAGGGATTGGCCTATAGTTCTCTTTTTTGGTTGGCTCCTTGTCTAGTTTTGGAATCAGGGTAATGGTAGCTTCCAAGAATGACTTTGGTGCTCCTTCCTTTTCTTTTTTTTTTTGGCAGGGGAGTGAGTGAGTTTGAGACAGGGTCTTGCTATGTAGTTCAGGCTAGTCTTGAACTTACTATGTAGTCCAGGCTGGCCTCGAACTCATGGCAATCCTCCTGCCTCAGCCTCCTGGGTGCTACTCCTTCCCCTTCAATTTCATTAATGAGTTGGAGGAGTATTGGCATTAGATCCTCTCTAAAGTTCTTGTAGAATCTGGTAATGAATCTACTGGGACCTGGGCTTTTTTTTAGATAGTAGTTGTTTTCCTTCAATTTCATTGCCTAATATTGGAATATTCGGTATTTTTGTTTTATTTTGTATTTTTATTGAGACTGGGTCTCACTATGTAGTTCAGGCTGGTGAACTCATCATATAGCCCAGGCTGGCCTTCAACTCACAATGATCCTCCTGCCTCAGCCTCCAAAGAGCTGGGATTACAGGTGTGCACCACCATGCCTGACATATTCAGGATTTTTATATCTTCTTGATTCAGCTTTGATAATTCATATATATGTAGGAATCTATTCATTTTTTCTGGATTCACCATTTATATTAGAGTATAGATTTTCAAAGTAGTTACTAATGATTTTCTGAATTTTAGCAAAGACTGGATTTCATGTTTTTCATTTCTAATTTTATTGATTTGTGTCTTTTCTTCCCTTTTTTTTTTTTTGGTAAGATTGGCTATGAGTTTGTCTATTTTTGTTAATTCTTTCAAAGAACCAACTCTCTGATTCATTGATTTTTTTTTTTAATTTTACTAATTTCTGCCCTGTTCTGCATAATTTCCTTCCTTGTACTGTCTTTAGATTTGGATTGTTCTTGTTTTTTTCTAGGACCTTGAGTGTATCATTAGGTTATTTATTTGGACTCCCTCTGTTTTTCTGAGGAGACCAGACACATTCAGGGTGGTATGGTCATAGACTCCCACTGTTTTTCTGGTGTGAGGATTCATAGTTATACATTTTCCTCTTAGGACTGCTTTCATTTTGTCCCATAGCTGGGGATTTAGCTCAGTGCTTCTGCCGCCTGCCTCATTTTGTCCCATGGGTCCCAGTATATTGTACTGGCATTATCATTTGATTAATCCAGAGACTGTGTAATTCCTCTGAGACCATTTGATTACTTAAGAGAGTATTGTTTCGTTTCCATGCATTTGTATAATTTCTGTGGTTTCTTTTGCTGTTGATTTCTAGTTTTATTGCACTATGATATGACAATATGCATGGTATAATTTTCATACTTTTGGATTTACTTAACTTGCTTTATGGTCTAACATGTGGTCTATTTTAGAGAAAGTCCCATATGCTGCTGACAAGAATGTGTATTCTGTGGCTGTTGGTTGGAACACTCTGCAGATATTGGTCAACTCCATTTGTTCAAAGATTTGGTTATAGTCTGGTATTGCTTTGTTGATTTTTTTATCTGGTTGATCTTTTTGTGACAGTGGGGTATTGAGGTCCACTATTATAATTGTGTTGGTGTTTATCTGATTTTTTTATGCCCAGTAGTGTTTGTTTTGTGAAGTTAGGCGCGCCTGTGTTTGGTGAAAATATGTTTATAATTGTTATTTCTTGCTGTTGAATCATTCCCTTAAACAATATGTAGTGACCTTCTTTGCCTCTTCTGATCATTTTTGGCTTGAACTCCACTTTGTCTGAAATTAGGATAGCTAGTTCTCCTTTTTTCTTGGTTCCTATCACATGGAATATTGTTTTACATCTTTGATGTTTAATCTGTGGATTTCTTTTTGAATTAAATATATTTCTTGTATACTGCATATTTTTGGATTGCATTTCTTTCCATTCTGCTAATCTGTGTCTTTTGACTGGGGAATTAAGACCATATACATTGAGTTATTACTGAAAGCTATTGACTTATCCTTTCATTGCTTTGTTTTCCTGTTGCTGATTTCCTTTTTCTTTCTTTTTTACCTCCTTTCTGCTTAGCTGCTCACTCTGCTTCATTCTACTAGACTTTTATTTTTTTTTTCTGCATTGTTCATTGTCTCTTTCTAGGCTATCCTTGAGAGTTTTGTTTTGTTTTTTTTTTTTTGGAGGGGTAGTTTGGTGATGATGAATTTCTTAAGGTACTCTTTATCATGGAAATACCTTAATTCTACATCAATTTTGAAGGAAAGTTTTGCAGGACATATAAATATGGCTTGGAAGTTGTTATCTTTTAGGGGTAGAAACACCTTCTTCCAAGCTCTCCTGTCCTTTAAGGTTTGTGTTAAGGAGTCTATTGTAATTCTGAGGGGTTTACCTTCATAATTTATTGCTTTTCTCAAACAGATTATAAGATTTGTCCCTGTGGGACTTGTGGTATTTTGACTATAATGTGATGTGGAGAGGTTCTCTTTTGATCATCGCTACTTGGGGTCTCAGTATGCCTCCCTTATCTGTATGTTTAATTCTTTCCTTGTATTTGGAAAGTTTGCTATTACTTTTGCAAGCAGGTTTTTTATGCCCTTTTTGCTGTCTTCTGATTTTTCATTTATTTCAGTTAATCTTAGATGAGTCTTCTGTGCATCATCTTTCAGCGGTTGGATCCATTTTTCATGTTTTCTTGTTTAAGGTGTTTTTGAGTAATTGGTCTTTGAAAGCATCCTTGTCTTCTAATTCTGATAGTGTATCATCACATTCATCATTTCTGCTGCCTGTACTTTTAATATAATTTTAATCTCGTGGATTTCTGTTTGGAGCCTTTCCATGGACTCTAATTCTTTGCTAAACTGGGGATTTAATGTGTTGTATCATTTTGTTTAGTTCAGTTAGCTTTTTATTAGAGTCTTCTGTAAGCTCCCTAATCTTTTTTTTTTTAATGCTTTCACTATCTGTTATATCTTCTGTGATCCCATGAAACTCCTCATTGGTCAGTTTTTTAATCTCCTCTGTTATCCTTTTGCATAATTCCAATGTGTGGCTTTTGCTTTCCTGCCCCTTGATCCCCCCAGAATCTGCTTTAGGTGAGTTGGGAGTTTTGGGAGCCAGTTTGTCGTCTTGTCTTCTCATGTGTGTATCGTCGTTTTGTTTTGTGCTTAGGTTTGCAGGTGTTTATAGTGGAAAGTATTTGTTGCTCATATGGTATTTTCTTTAGTTAATATGCTTTTCATTAGTATAGTCTTGGCATGGCTAATTATAGTCTTTTGCCTCTGTTAATTTGGGAGGGGAAAGGATGCACTGTAATTGGCCAAACATTCAGTTCTCTGGGAATGGATCGCAGTATTGTTAATGTAACAAAGGTAATGTGTTGGCATACAAAGAAAACCTATTAATAGCAATCCTCAGTCAGCAAAAGTTATATTATCAAGACAGATTGTATATTGACATACCATAAGAACCAATAATGTATCACCCTTAACCATAGAAAAATCCATAATTAGAGTAAAAACGCTGAGATAACCCAGATATTAACATATATACAGAGTCTACCAAAAAATGTATACACACTTCAGGAAAAGAAAACCTTCTATAAGTATTTTAATACTAAATTTATTGAGACATCTTGAGATTAATACAAGTTACCTTTGGCCTCTGCAATTACAAGAGGTGCTGAGAGTGGTGGCCATCAGCTTCCAGACATTTATTAATACGGCGGGCTGCTTCACTTGGTCATTGATATTGCTGCACATGCATTTTCAGTTTCTAAGGGCCAGCAGTGTAGTGGGTTTTCTGAAATATACAATAACCTATAGGGTTCTCCATATGAGGCTAATACCACCTGTTCAAAAAACATCATACTATTTTACTTTTCCTCAAGTGTATATACATTTTTTGGCGGACTTTGTATGTACTAAATGCAACAGCAACTGATGGAATGAGTTGGAAAGAAATTCAATAGTAACAACATAGAGTTAACTGTCTGAAGATTAATAAAGTATAATGGTTATACTATTAAAGATATAGAGGGTTGGGAACAGGAGAATATTAGAGGAAAATCTGAAAAATTAAACAATGGGAGATGAGCTGGAGAGAGAAATGAGACAAAGGATCCTATTGTGTAGGATATTTGTAGAACTAGATAAAGGGTAGAAAATTTATCCAATTTTAAAAATGAGAAATAGAAGAAAACAAAAAAACAAGGAAAGAAGACAAAGAAAGAGCATGGAAAATGGATTAAAGATTAACAGATAAAAGAGGGAGGAAAAAATTTTTAAAAAAGACAAAGGAAAATTTCCAAGACCATCTACTTATCTGTCTGTCTGTCTGTCTATCTATCTATCTATCTATCTATCTATCTATCTATCTATCTAGAGAGAGAGAGAGAGAGAAAGAGAGAGAGAGAGAGTCCACAAACAGAAAAAACAAATTGTCTGTATTTTTGAATTGGTGGTTTTCCTGTATCTGCAGTTTTGGAGCCCGGTAATTCATGGTTTTCTCCACCTTGCCTTATGGCCTATAGGAGCAAAGCCAATTTAATTGAGAAATTCATAGCTTTAGTTAACTTATAAAGTGAAATTTTCATCTTCATACTATTTGAAACATTTGTGCTTTAACTATAGTAATTATGTGTTTTAAAAATAAATATCTTAAAGTTAGGATGTTATAGAAGACATAGATTCACTTAGTATTGTTACTGGATAATCTTAGATAAATCGTTATACTGTTTAATATTAGGAATCTATAAAAAAAACCAATATATTTTTTGTAAGTACCTCCTCTAAAGTGCAGATTATAAATATATAGGTGGAAATCAGCCTTCTTAAAGCAAGACAGAGCGCGCTCCAGGATGAGCTGCTGAAACTGCAGCCGGCTGCTCAGTCGGTGCCCACGGGGGCTGGCAGTGCACCCGAAACCACTGCGTTGTCTTCCGCCAGTTATGGGCTCCATCATCGCCCTGCAGCTTTCTACGATGATGACATGGACTTTGGCGACCTACTTGCATCACAACAGGAAATAAACAGATTGTCAAATGAAGTCTCAAGACTTGAATCTGAGGTTGGCCATTGGAGGCGTATTGCCCAGGTAGGTAAATTTGAATGAGTTTTAAAAACTAGGAGTGAGTAAAAATAATGCTGCTATCTAGGAAGCTACGTGTAGAGCATTTGGCATCAGAATCACTCCTGACTCAGAAATAGAAACCCAGTATTGCACTTCTAATTCAGCCAGTAGCTATGAGTTTTTTGGTTCAGTTGCCTTTTTCTCAGCTTCAGTATCTTCAGTATGCTTTTCTGAACAATATTTAGAAAAAAAATAAAAAATATATAAAGCAGGCCGGGGATTTAGCTTAGTGGTTTTGCCGCCTGCTGTGCAAGCACAAGGATCCGAGTTCGATCCCCGGCACCAAAAAAAGAAAAAAATATAAAGCACCAAATCCATTTTTGAGGACCTGATTTGAGCCATCACCTTTTCCCCTGGAAATCCTGAGGCTTCTCTGGTGGGGACCCCAGGGCTCCAAGGCTCTGTGTGTGACATGGCTTCCTTGGATGTGGACTGAGGTTTCGTTGGCTCTTGTGATAATGAAATGAAAATGTGGTAATTGGTATCATAAATATGTTAAAGTATTTTGTGTTGGTTCTTATGCATTAGGAATTAAATACTTCCTATTTGGGGCTCTAAGCTTTCTTCCAAGGAATGCTTTTACTTACATGTAATGGATTTTATATACAGTATTCTGGAATTTGTAACTGGACAGGAGACTTGGAATAAACTGGTATATTGTTCATTAGGGTTTCACTTCATCAGTAAAAGAAAGAAAAAGAGTATATAAGTAAAGATGTTTTCTATCTTTTTGTGAATGTATTCTAGTTACAAAAAGGACAGATCTTACCAATTAATATTACCTGCTTGTTTTCCACAACGTTAGACATTGCCAATGCCCCAGATAAACAGAGGGTGTCTGTACAGCTCGTCACTAAAAAGCTATGGTCCTTAAACTTCATTGGAAGAGTGACCTGGAGAACCTGATAATATTGTAGATTTCATGTCTGGCCTTCCGAGATTTTTATTTCAGAGTCTATTTTAGAGCCTTAGAAACTTTATCCAAACAGATTAAACACTCGCAGGTGATTCTGATCATCTGAGTCACATGTTATAAGAAATACTGCTTACGGCAAGATTCTACTAGGAAGAAATGGGATTTCTGTACATTCACTTCAGCACATCCTAAATGCCTGGATTGTGACGTAAGGTGAAAAAAAGCATAATTGGGACTTTGTAAGAAACTTAATTTTCTAGCAAGACATAATGAAAATTAATATTCGTATTATACTACATAAGACACACATATATATTATTCTTAATAACTATGTGAAGTATTTATTACCTCTGTCTTGCAGATAAGGAAATTGAAAGTTATTACTAAGAGTAATATACTCATCATCCCAGTGATTAAACTTATGAGTCAAGCATACATCTTTTGTCCCAAATCTTGTGTTCTTTCTATTGTACTATGTTTTGTCTTTCAGCTCTAGAGCAACTTTTGGCTCATTAACATGTTATCTAGTAAATGTTAATAAAGGTAAATGAGTGCTTATTAGAGGCCTGGGTGGGTAGTGGAGCAGGAAGGTGGGCAGAGTTTGTTCAGTGGTACAAAATTATGGTTAGATGGGAAAATAAGTTCTGGTCTTTCGTACAATAAGGTAACTATTGATAATGATGTATACTTCAAAATAGCCAGAGGAAAGGATTTTGAATATTCTCACCACAAAGAAATGGTAAATGTTTGAGATGATAATGTTAATTATTCCTTCAACATATACAGTTATTAGGTATCAGTTAAAATGTTTTTAAAAAGATAAAGGAAAAATACAGCTTTGAATGAGAAGAAAAGAATCAAAATTACTTTTATTTTCTTGTCAAATCAAAGATTTTTCTGTATTGAGATAGAGATGGAGACCTTTTCAAAGTAATTTTCAAAATGATTTTTCAGCATTAACATTGGATGACCTATTATAGAAATTTTCTTTTAGAAAGCTGTTTGATTATCCTCCTGTTTTCATTTTGTTAAAATAATTAAAATATCCTGACTTTTTTCTATCTTTATTTTATAAAAATTGTCTCTCCAATTAGCAAATTCTTGAATAGGGCATCTTTTTATTGTGCATTACTCTCTAATGGACTACTTTTTTAAAAAAGTGCTTGGTATTCTTTAATGAGAATCTGTCTGAGAAATACCCCTTTTTTGAAAAATAGCTTTTAATAAGTTTCTGAGTTTTTGTTTAATAAGAAAATTGGTACAATTATTTTCCAATTCTCTTTTTTTTTTAAACCTGTAAGGCACAAGGAACGTATAGCTCTGATCAAAGTGAAATCTGCAAACTGCAAAATATTATTAAGGTAAGTCAGATTTTGATTGCCAATGGTTGTTATACATCTAAACATCTGTATATTAAAAGCATAGGCCTAAAGTAAAAATCTCAGTTGTGAAAGATTATATATATTATGGTATTCAGTTTTTAACTATTTTGTCTTTTTTTTTGGTACCAGGGATCGAACTCAGGATCTTGCGCTTACAAGGCAGGTGCAGTGCCACTGAGCTAAATCCCTGGGAGTTTTTAACTATTTTGAATTATCTTTCTTTCTTATGAGAAATAAGATACATAGGTATTTACCTTGCTGGGTGTCCCATGCCTATAATCTCAGCTGTTTGGAGTGCTGAGGCAGAAGGATTATAAGTTTGAGGCCAGCCTGGGCAACTTAGCAAGACCCTACCTCAAAATAAAATAAAATAGTCTGGGAATGTATCTCAGTGCTGGAGTACTTGAGTAACTTGCATGAGGTCCTAGATTCAATCCCTAATACTGCAAAATTTTAAAATAAATATAGTAATTAAAATACCTCTTTAAAATCATTTGGAAGACATATTTCATTTATCTCTATTGTAGCTCATAAAACTACCTTTATTTAAAACATTCCAGTTTTGCTGTTTCAAGCTTTTAGGGTTAAAGGATATCGATAAAATAAATATTATTCATTATAGTAACTATTTTACCTTAGTGGTAGAATTTTGCTAATTTCTGTCAATTATTTCTTTTAAGAAAGCCTTTCTTCCATATATTTTTCATAGCAGTGAATAATTTTTAGTATTGAAGTTATGGTCAGATACAGCATTTTCAGCTTTAGCTTTTGGGTTTACTGTTACTCTACTACTAGTGCGAGTAAGTGTCCCAGTCAGACCTTGGTTTAATCCTCGTTATATTGTTTACCTGCTGTGTTGCTGTGGGCAAGTTACTTAACCTTTCGCATTTTCTGTTTCATAAGTAAACATCATAATATCTACCTTGTAGGACTGTTTCGAGCACTTGTCCCAGTACTGCTACATAAGTGCATAAGATTTAAATATTTGACTTCTCACCTCAGAAAATAGCACCTAAGCCATCAATTAGGATTCTTGGTTATAAGCAGTCAAAACCATCTCCTGCTAAGTAAAGCACAAGAGTTTTCCATGAAGGACCAGTGAGTGGGTCTGACTGCAGGACTGAAGACAGAGTTAAGCATTCTGGTGTCAGGAAGCACAGGCGTGGGACAGCATCAGAAATCTACAGGGCACAGTGAACAGACTAGGAGGATGCAGTTTTCATTGTGTTTCCCATCAAGATCCAGGGTCCTGGAGAGACACTGGTCATCTCAATTTTGGTAGCAAAGCACTGTGGCCTGCAGGTTGGGAGTTCCCATGAGACTGACAGAAGGCTGAATAAGAGAATAGTGGTAATTGCACGACAGGTATGGATTGCCCTCTCGTATTACTGAAATATGATTTTAGGACTAGGAAATGGGCATGGTCATTAGAGACTAAGGAAAAGATATTTTTGCTGTCTTTTGTTACAGTGTTTCCTTGTCAGTATTCCCTCATTAAAAGCCGAAAAACTTTTGTGTATGTGTGGTAGTGGGGGTTGAACTCAAAGTCTTCGTAATGAGGTACATCCCTACTCTTTTGTTGTTTTTAGTCGTGATTTTACTAAATCGCTAAATTGCCAGGCTGGGCTGGAACTTGTGATCCTTCTTCCTCAGCATTGTAGAGTGCTGGGATTACAGTCGTGTATCACCAGGCCTGGGTAGCAAAACTGTTTTTGAGGTCTAAGAAAGAAGAAGTAAATTCTTTCAGAATTGTCCTAATTTGGGAACTGTATTTTAATTCTTTTCAGAGAATTAATTTTAATAATATAAGCTTTTGGAGTACAGTGAAATAAATAGTTTGCATAAATTTATTGATTACTAATGTGGTTAACTTTGTTCTTAATTTTTAAGGAACTGAAACAGAACCGAAGCCAGGAAATTGATGACCATCAACATGAAATGTCAGTATTACAGAATGCACATCAACAGAAACTGACAGATATATGTCATCGACATCGAGAGGAATTAAGCAGCTATGAAGAACGAATTGAAGAACTTGAAAATCTATTACAGCAAGGTTATTAGTCTTCTTAATTTCACATATTTGATGATGTAATTAAATGACAAACTTAGCACTCCGAGACCAAGACACTGGAGTAAATGTAGACTAAGTCCTAAATAATGAGGGAATGACTAATTTTGCTTAGTTGCCAAAAATTTCTAGTGACACCATTCCTTTCAAGATTGAAATAGAAAAGTTCTGCTTTTTTGGTAAACAGTTCCAATTCATAGATGAGTTTGCATTGTTTGGTGATGATACTTTGGTAATAAATGATTAAAGATGTTTTTACTTTCAAACTCAGACACATAGGCTTTTTACTAGTTGATTCAAATAATATTTCTTCAACTTTTTATTTCTCTAAAAGTGTTCAGGCCGCTGTGTTCCCTGTTGCATGGCGACCCACCCTCAGTCTGTAGAGTGCACTTCTTTTCCTACTTTTACTTGGCCCAGACTCGCTCTGCAGAGCCTGTTTCTTTTCCTACCTTTAATAAAACTTTCCTACTGTTACAAAAAATGCTTAGTTCATTATAGCAATTTAACTTTTCTTTATAGGCTTTCCAAATTCTGCACTCTTAAATCTGATAGTTGTATATAGGAAGATATTTGATGTCCTTCGTGCTGTTTTTGTTCTAGGTGGCTCAGGAGTTACAGTAACTGATAACTCTAAGATGTGTGAAATGCAGAAAACCATTCAGGTTCTACAAACTGAAAAAGTGGAGTCTACAAAAAAAGTTGAAGAACTTGAGAATAAAATAAAAGACATAAATAAAAAATTATCTTCTGCAGAAAATGACAGAGATGCCTTGAGGAGAGAACAAGAACAGCTAAATATGGAAAACAGACAAATAATTGAACAGTGTGAAAGCTTGAAACTGGAATTGAAGGCTTATGCTATGGAGCAAAGTGATATGGTGTCGGAAAAGGAAAGAGCTCTTCCACAGAGTTCCTCCAAGGAAGAAGTATTTAGACCACAACAAGCACTGTCTGGTATAACATGTTTGGAACTTTTTCACTGGGTTGTTTTAGAAACATAACACTTGAATTGTTGAATACTTCATGAAAATGGAGCATTTGTAGAAATGATTGTGTATAATTTAGTATTGTTTGGTTTGGATTTGGTGCAGAGTTAATAGATTACAAATTGAATTTTCTACTAAAAAAGATTAAATATTGGTTAGGTGTCTTTCAACATCCCTTTTTTATTCTTTGGGTATTTATATGGAAGTCAGTGATGTAAGAAACCATGTAGATTTAGCCTGGCATAGTGGTAGATGCCTGTAATCCCAACACCTGGGAGGCTGAAGCAGGAGGATTGCCAAGAGTATGAGGCTAGCCTGGCCTAAACAGTGAGTTCAAGGCCAGCTTGAACTAATAGTGAGACCCTGTGTCCAAAAATAAGAAAATTTAAAAAAATAAAAGAAACCATGTAGATTTCTGAGAAACACTTATGTACATAGAATTGTTGTGGGGAAGTATGGGTCTGTTTCTTTTACTCCATATGGAACTGAATACTTTCTGTAACTCATCAGGGCCCAGACTCCCTAGGTCGCGAATGCAGATTTCATCTTTAAAAGTGGATTGGTACCTTTTGAAATGATCGCCTGTAACAAAGCAAAGGCCTAAGTGATAAGTACCATAGGTCTTCTACCATTTTCCATGTCAAGATGATATTTAGTTACTCTACCAGTATTCTGTGGTAAAAATAAGTATTAAGTGAAACAGGCAAAATACCAGTATTCATTCATACCAGGAAAACATAATAGAAGCTGTTTGGCTGAAAAGGTGCTTTTTGTTTTGCACTCTGTCCTCTTCTCATAGTATAAATTCTCACCTTTATGACTCATTCATCCTGTCCAGGAGTTTTCCAGCCCTTGTGTACTTGTGATCCTCCCACAGCTGTATCTCTCACCCAGTTGTTTATCATGAGCTTCTGGTCTGGATGGCCAACTCCACGAATCACATGGATTTTCAAACTTAAGTTTCAGAATAAAGTCATCGGCTTCGCCTCTCTTCCTTTCCCAGCCTAATAGCATGTACTAGTCTCTCAAAGCAGAATACCAGAAGTCATCACAGCGACTTGCTTCTCCCTCCTTCAGTGATGTTTCAGGAGGAGCTCCAGGGTTTCTCACGGGTGCATCAGTCCTAGAGCTGCCATGTAGGCCAATCTGCTCTTTTATGTAATAAATTTATATATCCTGTTGGATGGTTCTTTAAGTTTATTTGATTAAAAAACACACTACTGCCCTAGTCCTTCCTCTCCTTTCCACTTCCATTGCCACAGAAATCCTTCAGTCAGTCATAATTGCTCCTTTCTTTTGTTAACTGTGGCCGATCTCTTAGTGGAGCAGAATAGGAAAGTGTTTAAGAACAAGCCTGGGCTGGAATTCAGCTTAGTCACTAAATAGCTGAGCTGACTTTGGGGACTTAGTTTACATCTCTCTATCTTGATGTTTTCATTGCAAAGTTCTTTTTAGGATGGTGTCTGGCCCATAGTGAGCAGTGTTAGCTGTTTTTATTCTCTGCTTTTCTTTCTTTTTTTTTTTTTGGTACCAGAGACTGAACCCAGGACCTCAAGCTTTTGAGGTTGGCATGGCACCACTAAGCTAAATCCCTGGCCCTTTTATTTTCTACTTTTCATGATTCTTTCTTCAAACCATTTTTTAAAACAATTCTGCAGATGGGCCGGGGATTTAGCTCAGTGGTTCTGGCACCTGCCTCGCAAGTGCAAGGTCCCAAATTCAATCCCCAGTACCAAAAAAAAAAAAAAAAAAAATTCTACAGCCAGAATAAATTTTCTGAAACACAAAGCAGCTTATTCCCCTGCTTTTATTATGTTAGGGCACGCTGGAAACTTCAAGAAGTCTAAACTTACATAGTTGGACATGTAATGTCCTTTATGACATGGTCCCTCTCTGCCTTTTCAGTTTGTATTCTTATTCTCTTACCATCCTAAGGCTTTGGCCATATTGAACTCTGTGTAGCTCCTTAAGCCAGTGTTGTCTCTTACCTCTGTCCCCTTTGTATTTGCCTCCTTCTCTGTGTGGAGTATCCCTACGTTTCTTTTAGCTAGCTCTTAGTTTATTGATTTAGTGAAGGTACAGCATTACCTCCACTAGGAGGTATCTGCACTGCCTTTTTTCTGCCTTATTTGCTGCCACCTGTCTGGACTCTGTGTTTGCCCTTTTTGTTCTCATGGTACCTTGTGTTTGCTGTACCATGCTGTATTATAATCATGTGTTCGGTTGTTTTTCTTGCCCTATGAGTTGTAAGCTCTTTGATAGCCAGTTTTTTTATCAAATATTTTTATTTGTTGTGTAGGCCTGGGCTCACTGTAAATAGTTGCTGTTTCCTCAGTGAATGTGAAATGAATTACTCCAGCTAAGCTCATGGTATTCTGTCTCTGTGTTCCTCTTCTGGAGCCCTTTCTATTTATGGATCTATATGTAATGTATTCATATCTGAGAGATTATTATATTGTGCTATAAATATACAGTCATTGCTTTTTTAGGTTTATTTTCCTGTCAAATCTTAGACCTTAAACTATTTCCAGCCATCCAAACTAATGAACTCATTTTGAAACATAGCTGTATTTTTATTAAAGCAATAACTTGACTCATCTAGAATACAGTTATAATTTGTTTTTACTCTTCACAGAATTAGATTGTAACATGGTTTTTAACTGACATTTGTATTATGATTTCTTTGATATGGTCAATCTAGAAATATAAAATGACAAAATATATTTCTCTTAAAACTACTAATCCCTGGCAATTGTAAAAATATTTGATTTTAATGGGGTTACACTTTTAAGGTTAATATGGCAGATAGTTATTAAGATATTCTAAATAATTTTAATGTCAGTTCATTTACTATTTTTACAGATGCTGAAAATGAAATGAAACTGAGTAGTTTGAACCAGGTAAACTTGTGTTATGAAAGAAAGATTCTGGCATTGATTAAGAAAACGTATTTTTTACTATAGCTATTTATTCTTTGTTTTTTCTAAAAAATCCATGTGAACTTACCCTAGGAACTTTCATTTTAGCAATTTTATTTGCTGAATATTAACAAACATAAACTCTTTTTGCACCATAAATCAACATATGTTAAAAAGTTGCATAATTGAAAAACAGGTATATCTTCCTGAGATTAGTTTGACAAATGTTACATGTGTGGGGGCAGTAGAAACACATCCTATACCAAAGTGAATTAATTTTTATTTTCTTTAAAGAATTCAGGGATTTGCTTTTTTTTTAGCAATTACTAGTTATTTTGTAAATATATTTTTATAGTTTTTCAAATAAAGTAATCCTCTATAAGTGTGTCTGAAATGAGTGCCTGGGTCTAAATGATCCAGTGTTACAGTCTTCTAATTTTTATATATCACTGAAGAAATACTGAGTAGAAATGCCCAGTTCTATAGCTAGCCTGCTGTTTTTTCAATTGGAAATTTTTTCTTGTGTGAAAACGTTGCTTTAACATTTTTGCAGGATAACAATCTTGCTGAAGACAATATGAAACTTAGAATGCATGTCGAAGTCTTAGAAAAAGAGAAGTCATTGTTGAGTCAAGAAAAGGTGGGTGCTGTAAAAATGGGGACAGAATTAAAATGGGGTCTGTGTGACAGTTCACAGCAAAGGACTAGTTTATACCAAGATGGAAGGCATGGTTGTAGCTTTATCACAGGATAAAGCTGATCACACTGACACTTGTCAGGCCAGGTTGAAGTAAGTCCCTGGGCAAGGTTCAGAGTATGAGAGGCTGACCGGAGTATACATGTACAGATAAGCCATGAGGCACACAGATATGAGTAGAAAAGATAGCTGAAGCCCTTGTCTTGGTTCCCGTGAAGTCCTGTATGTAGTAGCATACACAGGTGGGTCTGGAGGTCTGGAGCGTAGGTGCTGCTACCATGCCCCAGGGTGTATCTGTCATGGCAGACAGCAGTTTCTTATTGGTGAGGGGCAAAGATGGCTAGTGGGAGAGGGGTAAAGATGGATAGTTGTGTGTGTGGGGGCAGCAAGGGTGGAATAGGATTCTACAGTGGTATTCTAGTCTGGGATAATTCTTTTATCTACGACAGGTGCTTAAATACAGAACAATTAAAAGCTGGTATTAAGTTAAAAGCCGGTATTAAGTTAAAAGCCATTGTTTCAAAGGATTAATTTAAATCCTTAACTTTTATATAGTAATACATATTTACTCATATATGTATTCAGTTGTACCTGCAGAAGAATGGAGACTAGTACAGTTAGAGTATCCTGTACACCCCCGTTGCTTGATCACTTTCCCAGAGACAGTCTCTTACCAATTTCTGGTTTGTCTTTCTACACTATATAAGTGCATGGTATGATTATTCCTATAAATTGCTTTAAAGAAGTACAAATGTCAGCATACTGTATGTACATATTGCTCTTATATACCCTAACATTTTATTTTCAGCATTTTTCCATATTAATATATAGACAGCATTTAAGCGACAAAATCCTTAGTTTTGTGCAGTGCCCTATACATTCTAGAGTATTTGACAGCACTGTTTTTGTCCACTAAAGGCCAGTAGTGTCTCCCGGTCATTTTTTATTACTATCTTATATGAGTCTCTTTGGGTTCTGTTCCCATTGTATTCTGCTCTTTATCTAACTGGCTTAGGTGTACTTCGTAATTTGCAGAACTTTCTGCATATATCTGATAGGTCCTACAACCTTTCCATGATATTTTTGATTCTTTTTTTCCTTTGTTTTTTATTAATGTGCTTGTGATACATAATAAATTCATCATGGGGAATTGATACATATACTTGTTGCATTTTGATCCTTTTAGCTTCTCCTTTTCCTCCCTCCTCTTATTTTTGGATTCTGTAGCTCTTTCTGATAGCTCTTTCTTTTGTCTTTTAATGTTTATTATTAGTCCATTGTAACTCTTCCTGAATTACATCTATCATAGACTTACTTACTGATTAAGAATGCCAAAAGTATATGTATTTTTCAGAGCCTTCTGAGAAAAACCTTTGTGGTTCCCTTAATGAACATATAACTTTAGAGAATGTTATTTCCATCTTTCAAATGTAATTCAGAACAAACTTTTGAGTTAAAAGAAAACGAGAATTTTGGTGCAGATGTTCTAATACAGTTTTTCTTGATCTCTTTTATAAGGCATTATTAGGTTATTAGAATTTGAGATTCTTGAAGTAAATTACGTAGAAGTTTGATTTTTAAAAAAATCTTTATCAATGAAAGAAGGCTTTATAGTGATCTATACTTTATCATGAATATCATAATCAAATGTTGAAATAATGTTCAAACACAGAGAACTGTCCCACTTCTGGGAATTTGGAGAAAAACATTAAATATAAACACTAAGTAATAGACTCTGAGCTGCATGTAGAGATCCACGTTTGGAATGTCATGTCTGAGAAAGGAGAGCCGAGTCTGAGCTCAGTTAGAAGGCAAAGGAAGGATGGAAGGCAGCTTCTTGCATCAAGAGAAGTTTTCATGTTCTGACAGAAGCAATTAATAAGATAAATTTCTTTGGTAAGGGAAAAGCCTTTTATTTTCTAATTAGAGAAGATTGAGTTTAGAGTGAATGAGTATTGATTTTGTATTTTTATTTAAACTGTTGCTGTTGGTTAGTGGATGCTGGAGAGAGTTGGAAGTGATGAAAACTGGGAGAGTTTTGAGCTTCCTGAAAAGTCTGTGTGGTGGGGGTGGGTAGAAGGGGAGCAGGAGTGTGAGTGGCACAGGACATGCCCTCCAGTGGAAAAGTCTTGTGTGAAGAAGCTGGAGCGAGACGGTAAACAGTTGTCACACCTTATCTCAAGTCATAGAAATGTTTTCACTGGAAGCTGCAAGTATAACTGAACATGAATGAAGACTGTGATTTGTTGTATTTTACATATATCATTACTTTGGTATTATTCAATAATGTTTCCAAAATTCAGGGTTTTTTTTTCTGGTACCGGGGATTCAACTCAGGACCTTGTGCTTGCAAGGCAGGCGCCCGAACCACTGAGCTAAATCCCCAGCCCTCAATAATGTTTCCAATACAGAGCTTTAAAAATGGACCCCTAAAGTTCATTTGGTGTATGTTTAATCTTCTGGTGTCTCTTTTTCCTCCTTGATTATTGAAGGAAGAGCTTCAGATATCACTCTCAAAACTGAACAATGAATATGAAGTAATTAAGAGTACAGCTGTGAAAGACATGAATTTGGATTCAGAATTACACAACTTACAACTTACGTTGGCAACAAAGGAACAGGAACTAAATGAGAGTATCAGTGAAAAAGAAATGCTGATAGCTGAGTTAGAAGAATTAGACAAACAGAACCAAGAAGCTACAAAGGTAACAAACACAGCATTAATGACAGTGAGGTCTAAGGCAGACAGTGTAGTCGGTGGACTGCACAGTGATTGACATGCAGAAATGTTACATGTAATTTAATTGTGTGATTTCATTAGTAGTTTGGTTCATTGATGTTCTAGTCAGAGAGATTAACACACTTTGTGCCGTGTTTCGGTACAGCTGTATTTACCGAAGTAGGCAGTGAGCCTGATTTGGTCTGTGGGCTTTAGTTTGTTAATTCCTGCCCTGGTGTTTAAGAGTTGAAATTATATAACATCTATTATTTACTTTCTTTGGTTTTAAATTCTTATTGCTAAAATGATTAGATGGACTGGCAATATCTATAAATAATTTTGTAATGTTGCAAAAGAAAGTTATTTTTAGAGGATTAGAAATATCTGAGGGTTAGTCTTGTGAATGAAATTTTACAAAATGGTCTTTCAGCACTAAAAGGAAAAAATGTTGCAAAATTACCATGCAAATTAATTTTTCTTTCAGCATATGATTTTGATAAAAGATCAACTATCAAAACAACAAAGTGAAGGAGATGGCATCATAAAGAAACTGAAACAAGAGCTAGGTGATGAAAAAAAGAGAAGTCATCAGCTAGAGGATGACAAAATGAACATCATTTGGGAGTTAGACCTGCAGAAAGAAAAGTTAGCTCAAAGTGAACTGGTTCTAAATGATTTGCATTTAACCAAGAAAAAGCTTGAAGATGAAGTAGCAGATTTAGTAGATCAACTAAGCAAAGCAAAGAAAAATAATGTAAATATCCAGAAGGAGAACTTTCAACTCAAGGAACACATAAGACAAAATGAAGAGGAACTGTCTAGAGTCAGGAGTGAGCTAACTCAGTCTCTTAATCAAGCCTCGAAGAGTTATTTCAAAGATGACTTACTTAAAGAAAGGGAAGGTGAAGTGAGAAACTTACAGCAGAATCTTTCAGAAATAAAACAGCTCAATGAAAATTTAAAGAAAGTTGCTTTTGATCTCAAAATGGAAAATGAAAAGTTGGTTTTAGAATGTGAAGATGTCCGACATCAGTTGGAAGAATCTATTGCTAGTCATAATCAAATTTCTCAGGAAAGAAATACTATTGTAGAGACTCTAAAAAGGGAAAAGGGACAAGTAGAAGCAGAAAGGGAAAAGGGACAGATAGAAGCAGAAAGGAGTTTTTCAGAAGAAGCAAACAAGTATAAGCAAACCACTGAGGAGCTGTCAAATGCAAGTAATACCTCTGCCTTACAATTGGAACATGAGCATTTACTTAAATTCAGTCGAGAGAAAGACTTTGAAATAGCAGGGCTTAAAAAGAAAATGGAGCAAATGGCTAATGATCATAAAGAAACAAAGGAAATTTTGTCATCTAGTTTAGAAAAGCAGAGGCAGCTGACACAAGTCATAAGTGAGAAAGATATTTTTATTGATAAACTTAAAGAAGAAAGTTCAAAGCTACAGGAGGAATTAGATACATGTTCTCAAACCTTAAGAAAAAATGAAATTTTAAGGCAGACCATCGAAGAAAAGGACAGAAGTCTTGGATCTATGAAAGAAGAAAACAATCATTTGCAAGAAGAACTGGAACGACTCAGGGAACAGCAGAGTCGAGCTCTGCCTGTGGCTGAGCCTAAAACCCTCGAAAGTGTCACTGAACTAGAATGTGAGGTATCTCAGCTGAACATAATGAAAGATCATCTAGAAGAGGAGATTAAACATCATCTCAAGATAATTGAAGATCAAAACCAGAGTAAGATGAAACTACTTCAATCTCTGCAGGAGCAGAAGAAGGAAATGGATGAGTTTAGATACCAACATGAGCAGATGAACGTCACACATACCCAGCTTTGTTTAGAAAAGGATGAAGAAATTAAGAATTTACAAAAAACAATCAAACAAATAAAATCCCAGTTGCATGAAGAAAGACAAGTTATTCAAACAGAAAATTCTGATATTTTTCAAGATAGTAAGGTTCAGAGTCTTAACATAGAAAATGGAAGTGAAAAGCATGACTTATCTAAAGCTGAAACTGAGAGATTAGTGAAAGGAATAAAAGAACGAGAGCTGGAGATTAAACTTCTAAATGAAAAGAATGTATCTTTAACTAAACAGATTGATCAGCTGTCCAAAGATGAGGTTGGCAAACTCACTCAGATTATCCAGCAGAAAGACTTGGAGATACAAGCTCTTCACGCTAGAATTTCTTCAGCTTCCTACACCCAGGATGTTCAACAGCAGTTGCAGGCTTACAATATGGAAAGAGAACAAGTATTTGCTGTTTTAAATGAGAAGACAAGGGAAAATAGCCATCTAAAAACTGAATATCACAAAATGATAGATATCATCGCCGCCAAAGAAGCAGCCCTCACTAAGTTGCAAGATGAAAATAAGAAACTGTCCACTAGATTTGAAAGCAGTGGCCAAGAAATGTTTAGAGAAACTGTTCAGAATTTATCACGTATCATTCGAGAAAAAGACATTGAAATAGATGCACTAAGTCAGAAATGTGAGACTTTACTGGCTGTTTTACAGACTTCCAGCACTGGTAATGAGGGAGGTGTTAATAGTAACCAGTTTGAGGAGCTCCTGCAGGAACGTGATAAGTTAAAACAGCAAGTCAAGAAAATGGAAGAGTGGAAACAGCAGGTGATGACCACAGTGGGGAACCTGCAACGCGAGTCTGCCCAGCAGCAGGAGGAACTGCATCAGCTTCAGGCACAAGTTTTGGTGGACAGTGATACTAACTCAAAGTTACAAGTGGACTACACTGGCCTGATCCAAAGTTATGAGCAGAATGAAACCAAACTAAAAAATTTTGGGCAGGAATTAGCACAAGTTCAGCATAGTATAGGTCAGCTCTGCAATACAAAGGACCTTCTTTTAGGAAAGCTTGATAGTATTTCACCTCATCTCTCTTCTGGCTTACTTAGGGCAAGTATGTCTGCTCTATCAAGTGAGTCTTCTCAGTCACTTCAACTAGAGTTAGAAAAGCTAAGAAAATCACTGCAGGAAAAAGATGTAACAATTAGAACTCTCCAGGAAAATAATCACAGATTGTCTGATTCAGTTCCAACCACCTCAGAGCAAGAAATGAAAGAATACGAACAAACTGATTCAGAAATTAAGCAGCTAAAAGAGAAACAAGAGGTTTTACAGAACTTACTTAAGGAAAAAGACCTCTTAATCAAAGCCAAAAGTGATCAGTTACTTTCTTCAAATGAAAATTTCACTAACAAAGTGAATGAAAATGAGCTTTTGAGGCAAGCAGTAACAAATCTGAAGGAGAGAGTATTAATTTTAGAACTGGAAATTGCTAAACTAAAAGTGGAAAATGAAAAAATAGTAGAAACATCCAGGGCAAAAGAAACAGAATACCAAGCATTACAAGAGACTAACATGAAGTTTTCTATGATGCTTCGAGAAAAAGAATTTGAATGCCATTCAATGAAAGAGAAAGCTCTTGCTTTTGAGCAGCTGTTGAAAGAAAAAGAACAGGTATGTTCTGGATGGAGTTTATAGAAGGGTGTGTGGTTCTTCAATATTGTATTACTTGAGGATAATGTAAACTAAATATTTTCTTCCAGTTTTCTCTATAGAATTTAAGGACATCTTTAGACCATACAGGTTGAGCATCCCCAATCCAAAATCTAAAAAATTTAAGTGCTGATATAGATTTTAGACTTTCAGATTAGGATAGCCAACCAGTAAAGTCTAATGAAATATTTCAAAATGTAAAAAAATATGAAATTGAAGATATTTTTGGTGCCAAGCATTTTGGATAAAAAATAGTCTGTATTTTGACAATATTATCTTTCTTTTTTTAGGGAGGCATGTATGTTCTTAAATGATTTTCAAATCTATTTAATTTCTCAAGTATTCTTTGTAATATGAAAAAAAGTTAACTGAAAACTTGGGAAAATAATTGTACTCCCTATCCAAGAGTGTGCCGTGAGATATGTGAAGGACCATACAGTTTTGCCTTTTGATTTCATTGATTTGTCCGGGGGGGGTTCATTATGTGTGTGTGTGTGTGTGTATTTATATATATTTGTATATATATATTTGTGTATATATGTGTGTGGGTATGTATTTGTGTATATATTATATATATAGTCTTCTTTTTTAAAAGCTAGTCTCTTGCCATGTTGCCTAGGCTGGCCCTGAACTCCTGGGGCAAGTTATCCTCCTGGCCTTACTTTTGCAGTGAAGGGTTATTTTTTCTGCTCTTGTTAATATGTGGGATGCATTCAGGATACATTTTCATTACTGTCTAGCTAGATATTATTCCAGACTTACTTTTGCTAAATGGTTGCCAAATGTTCTTTTAAAATATGCTGCACTATGATGTGTTTTCCCCTTTTCCCTTCTGCTGGCCCCTTAACAGTGTTACTTTCCCTAACAGTTATGCTACTTGAGAGTGGACACACACACACAAGATTAAACACATTTCATTCATGATTTGGGGATTTGTGAACACTTTATTGTATGGAGTAATTTGGGAAGATTTTTATTTTGGGGGTTCTGTTTAAGATATTTCTAGGGCCCAGTGTGGTGGTGCACACTTGTAATCCCAGTACTTAGGAGGCTGAGGCAGAAAAATCATCATGACTTTGAGGCCAATTTGTGCTACATAATGAGTTCAAGGCCAGCCTAAACAACATAGTGAGACCCTGTCTCGAAATCACATCAAAACAAAAACATTTTTAATAACTAGACATGGAGATACACACCTGTAACCTCAGAATTCTGAGAGGCTGAGGCAGGAGGATCAAAATTTCAAGACCAGCCTTGGCAACTCAGCAGTTTACTGAGACCCTGTCTCAATGAAAGGGATAGAGATGTGGCTCAGTGCAGAGGTCCTGTTCAATCCCCAGGGCTGAAAATAAACATTCTAATAAGCCCTTTATTTTAGAATTGTTTTATATTTGTAGAAGAGTTGCAAAGATTACAGAGAGTTCTCACATAGCTCACACCCAGTTTATCTTATTCTTAGCATCTTGTATCACTATAATATATTTGTCAGAGGAGTGAATCAATCATGAGGCATTATTATTTACTAAAGTTCACACTTTATTCAAATTCTTTAACTTTTACCAAATGTTTTCTTCCTCGCTGCCATCCAGGTTTCCACTTGATATTTAGATGTTGCACCTCCCTAGGCTCCTCAAGATGTTGTACCTCCTTAGGCTTCTCCTTAGATCCTCTGACATTGTCTGAGCCTTTCCTTGTTTTTGTGACTTTGACATAGTTAACTATATATATGTGTGTGTGTGTGTGTGTGTGTGTGTGTATATATCCCCCCCCCCCAGTACCAGGGATCAAACTCATGACCTTGCGCTTGCGAGGCAGGTGTGGAGCCACTGAGCTAAATCCCTGGCCCAGTTAACTATATTTTAAAATAAGTTAATGAAGAGAATGTCTTTTAAAAAATATATTTAAACGGTGGGCATGGTGGCACATACCTGTAATCCCAGCCCTCAGGAGGCTGAGGCAGGAGGATTGCCACAAGTTTTATGCCAGTCTGGACTACATAGTGAGACCCTGTCACAAAAACAAACATATATTTTAGTTGTGGGGCAGGACACCCAGGAGCAGGTCCTGGCCAGTGCCACAGAGCCTGAGGAAGTGCAGAAGCGGGGGCAGTTGATGCAGATTCAGGCACCTTGAGGTTCACCTTGGCTGCCTGTGCCCAGGCCCATGATCAGTCCTGGGCCTCATGCATCAGTGGAACTGTTCCCTGTGGAAGAGATGCGGAAGGCAACCCAGCTGGGTTTGGGGAGGTTTGGTGGGTCTGGACTGTCATCTTTGAAGCCTTGGCTACAGGCTGTACCAGCACCACAGCCTCCTACATAAGCATCCACTACATGTGTACCTGTGTGATTGCTAGCTTTGCAACTGGGGAACAGACACATAAAATTTTGCCCACAGCTCTGTACCGTGGAGAAATTTGCCTCCTACTGCCTCACTGAACCAGGAAGTGGGAGTATTACTGCATCTCTTTTGACCTCTGCTGAACAATAATGAGATTGTTACATCCTCAGTGGCTCCAAGGCCTTCATCAGCAGGGACAGTGAATCAGACATCTGCATAGTCATGTGCTGAACCAGAGGACCAGACCCCAAAGGTGTCTCATGCATAGTTGTTGAGAAAGGGGCCCCTGGCCTCAGCTTTGGCCAGAAGCAAAAAAGATGGGGTGGAACTCATAGACAATCTGAGCTGCAATCTTTGAAGACTGTGTTGTTCCTGTGGCCAACAGAATTGGAAGAGAGGGGTACTGCAGGGTGGATCAGCATTGCTTCGTGTCCCTTGAGGATGCTCGTGCTTCACTCATCCTGACCTGAGACCATTTCAAGCAGTTTGGAGTGTGGCTGGCCAGGAGCCCATAGCTGCAATTCCAATGGGCAGGCAAGGCATTGAGGCTGGTGGCTGCACAGCTGGTAATCTGCGCTGTAGCAGTGGCTCTGCAAGAGGAGTGGGAAGATGCAATGGCCCTGGGCTCCATGGCCAAGCTGTTTGCTGCAGAGGAAATCTTTGCTACCTGCAACCAGGCTCTACAAATTCACAGGGGCTGTGACTATCTGAAAGATTATGCTGTTCAACTGTGCATGTGAGACTCGAGGTCCACCAAATTCTGTAAGACAGCAAGCAATGAAGTGATGATGCTGATCTCTTGAAGCCTGTTTTAGGAGTAGCACCCGTGCTTGGTTTCTGGCATGGTGTTCAATATGTAGCTTCAGTTAAGAGTTGGGTGGCTCCATGTGGGCTCCTGGGTTCCAAATGAATCATGAATTAGATTGAAGGGCTGAGCTCTTCTAGGCTAGAACCTGCACTGTGTGTTGGCAGCAGTATTGGCTTCAGACTGGAGCAGAGTCCTCAGTAGAACTGGAAGAGTTGCCCTGATAAGAAATGCCATAAGAAGACCTAGCATCTCATTTTCCTAATGCTGGAAAAACAGCCACTGACTGTTCAGAACCAGAGTCATGTCTTGGGCCCTCATTGTCTTGATTTGTCTTAATTTTGCTGGTTTACTGGATTCCTCTCTTTGTAGCAGCTTGGGTACTTCCACTGAGAGTTTTCCTGGTTATAAAGCAAAGGTGAGGGGAATGAGAATGCCCTCCTGTCTCTCACTGTTCTCTGTATGCAGCGTTAGTATATCTGAACAGCAATACCTCTGATTATAAGTCATGGTAAAATGAGTGGGAAAATTCCTAAGCCTTGATTTAGAGTGCATCTCCACTTCTGGACTACCTGAACATCAAGGGCTGAGATTATGTGGAAATTTGAATATTTGATGTTTTTCTTTCTGAGAAGGCAATGGTCCAAGAATGGTATCCTAGGTTTTTATGACCCTCCTTGATAAGTACTTTGAGTATATTTTCTGAGTTTCTGTTTCCTTTTTTGAAGTTTTCTTTTTAAATATTTTTAAATGTTACATTAAGAAATCTACACCTTTTTGTACTGTCAAGAAAAAGTATTTTACTTTAAAGCTAAAGGCATTTTTTAAAAAAATTTTTTTATTGGTACATTTTAAGTACACAATACATTTACATTTCTCATTGGGAACTTGTACCTTTACATGATGTATCTTGGTTCTTATTTTTTCCCCATTCCCAGCCCTCCCTTCATCCCCTCCACCCTTCCCTATTTACAAAGACTGTTTCCATTTTTCCCACTTCTCATAATTTTTCCTTTCCCTTCTTTCCTTTTCCCTGCCCCTCCCACTACCCCTACCCCTTTGGACCTTTTCTTCCTATTTTGCATTATCAATTATTCATTCTAATCATTGGTACATTTTAGGTATACAATATAATGACATTCATCATTGGAAATTGAAGGCATTTCTTTCCAATAGGGCAAGACTGGGGAGTTAAATCAGCTTTTAAATACAGTCAAAGGAATGCAGGAGAAGATGGTTACATTTCAACAGGAGAGAGACCAAGTCACACTGTCCCTGAAACAGAAACAAATGGAAAACAATGCCCTACAGAATGAGGTATATTTTCACTTTGAAGGAACAGTGAATCAAACAATAAATTTAATAACTTTTAAGTAGGATAACTGAAAGGCTGTCAATTAAAACAAATTCATCTCTTTGTTCACTTTTCATCTTCTAATGTGCTGTAATAAGATTTGACTCCACAGGATGCATTTCATTTGTTCTCAGAAGTGAAAATCATGACATATTCTTGATAAAAGAAAAAATTCTCACCCATACCGTATGAAAAAAACTGAGGTTTTACGGAAAGAGTAGTTGGTCACAATAGAGCTGAGGACTTTTATATAATTCCATTTTATTCATACAGCAAGTGAGGTCTTACAAAGTAACACATGCAGATGAATATTCAAGATTATTTCAGGAGAACTTGTTCCTAGGATAAATATATCTTGTGAAATATTAGTATACAATTAATAAACTTCAATAATGGGAAAAAATTTGAGAATACAGTGGTTTGCAGTGGCAGGGGGCGGGAGTGTAGTGATGAGGGACCATTGTGTAGAAGAAAAATAAAGAGATGTCTTCTACCTAGGTTCAACACTTACGTGACAAAGAATTACGGTTAAACCAGGAGCTAGAGAGATTGCGTAACCATCTTTTAGAATCAGAAGATTCTTATACCCGGGAAGCTTTGGCTGCAGAAGATAGAGAGGCCAAACTAAGAAAGAAAGTCACAGTATTGGAGGAAAAGCTAGTTTCATCCTCTAATGCAATGGAAAATGCAAGGTAACTTTTTCATTTTTGCATTAACTTTTATCTGAATGCATCTTGAGTATCAGAGTCAGTTGGCATTTTTTGTATTTTAGCTCATTTTCACAACATTCTTTGTCTCCGTTTTACAATGAAGGAATTGAAGGTAAAGAGATTTAAAGCCCTGACTGAACTTAGGCACACGTACTCTGTGTGGGAGTTTCTCACTTGATCCTGTGACTCTTAAGAAGATCTCGCCTTCAGACTGTGCCCCTTCAGCACTATCCTAGTAAATCAGCACTTGCCCTTTTAGGAAATAGTCTGAAGTTCAGCTCATTTAACACATTCATGATGGGGCTGTAATTCATATGTCTCACTGCTGGGTAGTTCTCAACCGCTGGTGGTACGTGCATGACTGCCCCATCAGATGGCATGGGACAGGCAAGCATGACCACTGCTGATTCAGGCCAGTGGGAATGTGATTATAAGTTATGTCCAGCTCCCAAAGAACTAACTTAATTTACATCATTTATTTTTTATCAGATGATTTAAGGTTGAACTAGATAGAAGGAGAGGGTAGGACAGTGGCAGGGTGAGGACCTCGGTCAGGATGAACAATTAAGTTTGGATTTATTAGAACTTTTGAGTGACCAAGACTGCATTTTATAATTTTATTTCTCTCTCTCTCTCTCAAAAAAAAAGATTTTACTTTTGTTTTTTAAAGTTCTTTGTAACAAAAATGTATTTTCTACTTCTGGAAAATCATATAAACTAAGACAATATAAAACAGTCTCACCTCTCCAAGATAATCCTTTTTTATTCATTATACTTGTATATATATACATTATGTATCTTTTTAAAATCCAAAATAGATGATACTGTGAATATTGTTTTATAACGCTTTTCTATCAGTAGTATGAGTATCAGCATACATTAAGCCGTATAACTCTGCAATAAAATATTCCTAAATAGCATACAATTATTTGGGCTTCACATAATTTCTTTAACCTAGTCATTTGTTATTGGGCAATTAGAGTGTTTCAACTTTTCTGAATCACTGATAGCTGTCATGTTACCCTGAGACTTATACTTTTTTGTAGAGGACAGATTATTTCCTTTGTGTAAATTTTTAGCCACAGAACTTCAGGGTCAAGTGGTAATTTAAAACTCTTGAGATTGTACTGCCAAATTAGTTTTCAGAAAAATATTGACTGTATTTTGATTAGAGGTATGTACATCTTTTTGTTTTTTTCTGTGTATGATGCTGAGGGAACTATAAGGAGATAGTAGATATCTGTCTGCAGAGAAGTTATTTGCAGTTGAGCCAGTATTTCTAAGGAGAGTCCTTCCCACCACTTTGTAGGCTATATTACTGTACTTTCTGACTCAGAATGAAAATTTGTTTGATACAAAAATTAAAACATTGAGTGATGATTCGTATATATGCTTTACTTTGGCAGAAATGCCAGATATCCTCAGGTTGTCACATTATACATCATAATTCTTCCTTGCAATTTTCAGGCCTTTATTTTCTCTAAAACAGTTGCTAGTCACTGTCTCTTTCATTTCCCCTTCTTAATAACTTCCTTAAGTAACTTTAACTTTCCTTAAGTAGAGCTATGACCTTGTAACTCCCTTCTTTTCAAAAATCAATCTTCTATAATTTGGTCCCAGGTTACCTTCTACGTTAGCTTTATTTCCACATCTAGGCAAACTGTATTACACAGCTTCTTATAGATACTGTTTCCATATTTTTCTTCTACCTTTCTTTTCATATCCCTTCTTTTACCTGAGTAATAGGCCTGGTCCCTGACAGTTTTCCTGTGAATCTCACCTACCCTTTAAGTTCCATTTGTTTTGCCAAGGGTATTTTATTTTCCCCATTCCTCATATCCAGAATTAAACCCTGTTGTGATATCTTTCTTTTGAACTTGCATAATCTTTTTTTAAAATTTATATATTAATTGGTACATTTTAGGTATACAATACATTTACATTTATCATTGGGTGTTTGTACCTGAACATGATGTATCTGAGTTCTTATTTTTTTCCCCATTACCTATGCGCCCTTCACCCCCACCACCCTTCCCTATTTACATAGACTTTGTTTCCATTTTTTTTTTTCTTTCTCATAATTTTTCCTTTCCTTTCTTCCCTTTCCCCTTCCTTGCATCATCTTTGATAGGGCACTTATATTTTACTTTAGGCTACAGATAATTATTGACCTAGTTTATATTGTCTGCTGTCCAATAAAATGCAAGCTCACTAAGGTGTAGGAATGATGCTATTCATTTTATAACCTTCCCACAGGATATATTACAAATAGTACAGTAAAAATTTGTTAGATGAGAACAAATCTGGAAACCAGACTGTGTTGTTTGGGGCCCTTAATATTAACACTTGCTACTTATTAACTTTTTGAGTGCTTTCATAGGTCAGTTTATCCCTACAATCATGCTTTGATTTGCTAACCAACAAAATTGGATAAAACCCAGGCACACTTAGGGTCAAAGATCAGGTCCTCTATCGATTTACAGCTCTTTACTGAAGAGAGTGCTTTTGGGTGAAGTGTCTTTGGCGTGCACTGATCCTAATGTGCATTAGTGGGCTGAGTTAGAATTTAGGTAGATAGTAAATACCCATGAAGATCTTTGCAATATTTTCAATGTAATCATTACAGTACATTAAGGATGTATACCAGTGACCATAAACCTATATAAATAAATCACTTAGGGATCTCTGGATTATTATTTAGAGTAGTGGGAGGGTTTATTGTATTTGATATGGGCAGAAAGAAATAATAGTAAAAGATAAGCAGAGCAGTTCATCAATGGGGTAGCCTTTGGAAAGTTGGGAGTTCATTATGATTACAGGTGTCAAAAGTGAGGGGGTGTCACGGACTCCATTCCTTATTATTCTGGAAACTGATAAAATGACTTCAAAGACCATTACAACTTAAAATTTTATGCTAAATTATATCTGAGAGTTTTAACCTGGAAAGGTGAAAGTTGCAGTTTGTGAATTTTTCTTTTGCTGATGTTCTTGGTTAGCCAAATTCCTAGGCTTTAAAAGGATGAGCAGTTGTTGAAAGTCACTTGCACAGGAGAGATGATTGAATTAAAAGAAACAACAAAGATCAGAGGAAATTTTTGAGTTTCTTTGAGATCTAACTTGAACTTAATGCAATAAAATAGAAAGAAGGTAAAATCAGTAGAGACAGACAGTTGAATATTAATAGCCAGAGCAAGGAGGAGTTGTTATATACTAGAGATGGAGTTTCAATGTGAGAAGATAGGAAAAACTCTAGAGATGGATGGTACTGATGATTGTGCAACATGAATGTATTTAGTGTTTCTGACATGGCTACCTGAAAATGGTTAAGTTATAAATTTTAAGTTCTATTTTACCACAATAAAAAGAAATGTAGGGAAGAGGGAAGGTGTTTTTGTCTTGTTAGAAGCATCTCTAGCCAGATGTGGTGGCACACGCCTGTAATCCCAACACTCAGGAGTCTGAGACAGAAGAATTGTCCTAAGTTTGAAGCCAGGCCAGGAGAAGTAGCCAGACCCTGTCTCAAAAATCAAACCAAAAAAGTATCCCTAAAATGCTTGAAATCTAACTTGAATTTTAATTTAACACAGTAAGATGCAAAGGAAGTGATCTTATAAAAGTACTTTAGTAAGTAGAATCAGTTTGACTCTGACTTTTTTTTTTTTAAGTCATCAAGCCAGTGTGCAGGTAGAGTCATTGCAGGAACAGTTGAACATGGTCTCCAAGCAGAGGGATGAAACTGCACTGCAGCTTTCTGTCTCTCAGGAACAAGTAAAGCAATATGCTATGTCATTAGCCAACCTGCAGATGGTTCTAGAGCACTTCCAACAAGGTAAGTTGTATGGATTTCTTTCAGTGAAGAAAATCATAGTAATTGGTAATTTTGCCTTTTTATATCCTGATTTACACTAAGTATAGGGAAATCTTTGAGAGGTTCTCACTTGTAGAAAGGAAAGGTAAATAGCCATCAAGTTAATTTAGACTACTTTTACATTTAAGACTGGAGAATATAAACTATCTCATTACTGTTAAGTAAAAAATTGAGGGTAATGGTGAAAAAAAGTAATCAAGTGGTAAAGAGGGGAATACAAAGAAGAGTGAGATAGGGCAGGGATTTAGCTCAGTGGTTTCGCCACCTGCTGCGCAAGCGCAAGGACCCGAGTTTGATCCCCAGTACCAAAAAAAAAAGAGTGAGATGTTACATAGAAAATAATTGATTTCTTCAGAGATTCAACCCTATTCAGTATTAATCAGTAATTGAAATATTTATTAAATTAACTATTCATCTGTACTTTGATAACCACTTTTTTTTTTGGTGGTACTAGGGCTTGAACCCAAGGGGAGCACTGTGCTATACCCCCAGCCCATTTTATTTTATTTTGAGGCAGTGTCTCACTACAGTAACCCGGGCTAGTGTCAAACTTGTGATCCTCCTACTTCAGCCCTTGAACAGCTGGAATTATAGGTGTGTGCCATGGTGCCTGCTGGCCTACATTTTCAAGTTACTCCAAATTACATTTTGGGGGATACAGAAACAATATTCAGTGCAGTTTTGCCCTGAGCACCAAATATGCTTTTTCACATTCTACTACCTATGTTTAGATTTATCTCCTTCAGATCATTCACCCATTTACTCATACATTCAGTATTGTTTATTCACTTATGTACTCATACAAACAGTATTGTTTATTCAGTAAGTATTGACAGTGGATCAATGCTAATTGCATAGAGGATATGAGGATGACGAAGTAACTAACAGGTTTATAGTTTTGTACCTAAGTAAAATGTTATATTTGTACCTCTGTGTCCCTTCAGGTTACTTACGTGGTTGAAATTTTGAATTTTAAATATAAGAAATCTCTAGGTTTACTTTATAGTATCATTGTGAAAATGCATATACATACAGGTGGTATGGTACTGAGGCTGCAGAGAAAACGTTGCCAAAGAGGAAACATTTGAGTGGAGCAATGAAGGGAGGGAAGAACCTGCCACATAGACAACTTGAAGAAGAGTTTAGGAGAGGAAACAGTGATCTCATTACTCCAGCACTTACGTGGTCACTGTAACATTTCCTTTTTTGAAAAGCTTGGACTTTTTTGTTGAATTTTTAAAATATTGGGTGGTTTAAAATTCGAGTTTTATCATATGGTTGCAAAATATTAACATAACTTTCTTTTTAGAGGAAAAAGCTATGTATTCTGCTGAATTAGAAAAGCAAAAACAACTTATAGCTGAATGGAAGAAAAAGGCAGAACATCTAGAAGGAAAGGTATTATCTTTACAGGTATGCTGATAGTTTTCTCTTACATATTTTACTATTCAGTAATTGCTTTACATGTTGTTTGAGTTGGCTCTGTGTATCTAGCCCTCTGCTGGGCAGAACAGTGAACAAAATTCTAGGGATTTCCTTGGGCGACTTAAAACTTTGAGTAGACATTGTGCATGTGAGATGAAAAGACATTGATTTTTTTTAGCACATATGGGAATTTCAAATAATGTATATTATCCAATTATGTGTATTATCTCCTTTGCAGCATCATCTTTTAAAAAATTTTTCTCTATTATTATGCTATATTCCATACATGCAAAAAATTACATATATGGTATAAATAAACTTCTGTTCCAGCCAGTTCAGTGTTTCTGTTTTAATATTTAAATCTTTAATCCATTTCTATTTTAGTTTACTGCATGTTGAGAGATATAGGTCTAGTTCTAATCTTTGGCAAGTTGAAACCCAGTTTTTCCAGCACCATTTATTGAAGACGCTGTCTTTCCTCCAGTGAGGGTGTTTGGCTCCTTTGTCAAAGATGAAGTGGCTGAGTATGTCTGTAGTTGTTTCTGCATCTTCTGATCTGTTCCACTGGTCCTTGGGTCTGTTTCTTTGCCAATACCATACTGTTTTTATCACAGTAGCTTTGTAGTATAGTTTCAAGTTGAGGGTTATGGTACCACCTACCTTGTCTTTATTGTCTAGAATTGCTTTTGCTATTCTAGGTCTCTTCTTGTTCTAAATGAATTTTTGGATTGTTTTCTCACAGTCCATGAAGTATGCTGCTGGAATTTCAATTGGGATTGCATTGAATCTATATAGCAGTTTTGGAAGTAGGGACATTTTCACTATATTGATTCTTCCTACCCAGGAGCGAGGGATGTCTTTCCATTTTCTGCTATCATCTTCAATCTCTTTTCAGAGTGCTATAGTTTTCAGAGAAGAGATCTGTGATTTCTTAGGTTTATTCCTAGGTATTTCAATTTTTTGGATACTATTGTGAAATGAATTGTTTGCCCTATTTCTGTCTCAGTGAGTCTGTTGTTCATATAGAGGAAAGCCATTGATTTTTGTGTGTTGACCTTGTATCCAGCTACTTTACTGAATTTGGTTATTAAGTCTAGAAGACTTTTGGTGGAGTTCTTGGAGTCT